AATTGCACCATCCCTAATTTTACAATATTTTTCTGCTTCAGTGACCCAACTGATTTATTAAGAGCTGATATTTAGAATTTTATGGTATTTTTTGTGTGAAATTGTAATAACCTCTTTTCTTTTTAAGGACCCCAAGCAGACAAACCATTTCGATTGCCGCTTAAGATCCTTATTGACCTACAACCAAGGAATAACGAAGCTTTGGCAACTGTCCAATGTTTGGCACACAACCCTAGGCTAAGGTAAGCTGTATTTTATTATTTTATTTTAATTTAATTTGTTTTAAGCTCTCCAAAGCCAAGCGTATCCCAGAGATTTCTATACTTAAGTCTTATTATGAGGCTTAGGGAGTGAAGTTGTTTTGGTCATGAGAATAACTGCTGTTACTGTAACAGGAATTGAACCTAGGACAGGTCCGAATGAATGCCTTTGGAAGTTTCCAGAAGAGAAATATTCAAGGAAATCACAAGGCCTGAACATCATGTATTGTGGTTGTCCAGAACTGTGCTATATGCCCACCTCCTATAAAGTGATACATACAATATCATATACTTCAAACTTCCAAAAGCATTTTCAATAATATTGGATAATGGACCTATTAATTGGTCCGTGATTGGCCCTTTTATAAATAAATTTGCATATTTGTAATTGGAATAATGAATATTCATGAACATTTTTGTTTAAATGCAGGATTGCAGTACCTGTACAAAAAGATGTGAAGAGTGTGATTGACTATCTGACATCCAAGTGGACACCACACAGCATCAAGCTGGTATCCTTTTATAATAAATAATAACCCTTGTAGAGAGCAGCTTAGCTCAGTTGGCTAAACTAGTGGTAGCCACTGTGTGTGCGCTGAACCATGGAGATCCTTTGGTCTGGTTTAATTACATCGCTGCCTCTCCTTGTGTTTTAGCTGGAGGTCTGAAAGTCAATTTACAATAGCGCACCATCTTTTTTGGATGAGGCGCTTTAAGCTGTCGCTGAACCCATGTGAATATGGCCCGTGTGTATGTTTGTATGTAGTTTACTCTTCGATTGGGATTGTCTCACAGTGTACTGTCCGGTCCAACTCCAGAAGGACCCTTTTGGAATAAAAGTCTATATATTTGGTGGGTTATCTTTGGTTTAATTGACATCATAATTAATACTTTATAGTATGCCAATTAAAAAAATGTTGCCAAAGAATTTTAAAAAAGCTAAATATAGGTGGTCAGGATGTGATGTAATCATCACCATATTTAAGCATTCCAAATCAAATTTGAGGACTTAAGTTGAAAAATTATTTTATTCATTTAATTGAATGTTTTTTCCAGATGTTGCCATAGAAACACTATTTTCAAAAGTAAATAAATATTACCAACATATACTGACCTCTCTTATAATCTTTAACTAAGTATTTTCAGCTACAGACTTTGAAACCCACTGATAAGGATCATAGAACAAATGTTGTCTTACGATTACCCCCTAATCTGGACATCACCCCCTATGAGGAGGTGAAGGGAAAATTTATTCACTGGAGTGCTAAAACACCATTCACAATGGGGCAAGGATTAAACTCTAGTAACAGCAAAAACTCTCAATCGAACTCATCAAGTCCGCAGTCTACGGCAAAATTAAAACTACAGCCGAGTAAAACGTTACCGGTTGAAGCAACATCTGTAAAAAGTGACGCTAAAGGGAAAGTAAAAGAAAATGCGATTGTTAACAATGGAGCACAGAAAAAAGACGATACAGAGAACTTGGCAACCGATTTTGGTAACAGGTTACCTGATATCTCAATGATTCAGACCGAAGTTTGTGGTCAATTTGGAGAAACGCACAGCGAGACTCTCTTAGGTTTGGACGCAAATACTGATTCTGACATTTTACTAAAATGCACAGAGTCGTCGTTAGGAAATTCAAATGATTCATCTTCTTTGGGAAATGTTGAAAACACTGAGCCCTCTGTGGCACAATTGAGTGCAGTGGAGAATGAAACAAAATGTAAACAAACTAAAGACTCTTGCTTGAGAAATGGACTAACTTTAGAGAATGCAGATGATATTAGTATTACAGATTTATATTTAATGGTAACTATTCTTAATATTTGATTTGTTTAGTAAGCATTATTTCATTCTTAAATGCACATACCCTATCTAAGTTATTTATCTTGGGGTAGAACCTAGTGACTCAGATACTACAACCTAATAATAGATAATGATATCATTTAAACCTAATACATTTGTATTGTATAAAACCTGCCAGTGGCAGATTTCCCCCCACCCTTTATATTTCAAAATTATAAAAAAATTGAAGAAAAAAAATAAAATTATATTCAATTTCAAATGTAAGGGTGCCATATCCAGCCACCTACAGGTGCCATAATCATACATTTTGTGTGTTTGTGAGATGGACAGGTATTCCTGGCCTATTGGTACTAAATAACACATTCTGGTCCATTCGTCCATTAGTGTAATGTTGCGAGTATGTTGTGCTTGAATTAGAATAATTACTTAAAAAAACTTTAATCCCCTGTTATTGTTACCCCCTATTTATATTAATTTTAGTTTTTTTTTGCTCCAAAGTTAGGGATGCCACCTCGGTTAAAGTTCGAGTACGAGTTTGCCAACAAGTCAGTTCCAAAAGCAGATAACACCTTGAACACTCTACAGAAGTTAGTCCATCTTGCGAAAACTCAGTTAACGAACACTACAGCTCAAAAACAAAAGGTACATTATTTTTTCTATTTTGTGTTTTTCACAGGTCTTTGAATTTGAATGTGAAACTATCCTTTGTGTTAAGGTGTGGCTGTCAGAGTGGTTTAGAGTGAATGCATTTGTATCCCTGAAGATTTAAATATGGCGAAAGGAAGTCCATCACTCATTGTTATGCGCCTCCTGCATGTGTGTTCAGTCGGATAAAATTATAAACCGTAGGCCCAGTGTACACTTTGGCTTTATGTGCACGATAAAGAACCCAGTACATCATTCGAGACAAGTAGGGCGATACCCCGGTGTACTGGTACAAACAGAAGATGTTGTGGACGGCGAGAATTGCACCGGGTTACTGAGTAGCAAGACATGAAGTTACCCTTAGGGGGAAGAAAGTCATTGATCAAGTTTCTAGTCCACATATCCAAGCACTTTGTATCCATTCACAAAAAGCACTACAGTTATATAACTGTCTATATTTAGATTTCATGTCTTTTCGTGTCATGTTGTGTGCATGCTCCTGTTGTCATGCCTGAACAATACTTTTTTGCACATGCTTTGACGTGGCTATAGGTTTTAGTGAATTACAATATAACATGAATGTCAGTGTTATTCGTAATGTGATTTAGAATTTCATTAGACAATAATAACAATGGCTTCTATAATGCAACGATCAATAATGCAAACTACATAAATTTAGTGCATTTTCAAAATGATTAGCTCGTCCCGATTTGCGATGTTGAAAAAAACACCAAAAAATCTGGACGTCTCTGTCTAGAATTTCAACAAGACTTTTACTAAATGAGATTTAACAATAACTCAAAACATGCTCAAAACAGCCTATCGGTAAAATCAAACGATGTGTGCTTTTGGGCGGAGCCTTGCTTTTTTACTAGCGTACAGTAGGTGATGAGTTAGCTATTTTGGGATTTTATGGGTCCATGGGGACCAGTTATACTTCATAGAATAGCTTGTAGATTAACTGATATGGGTTTTACGTTGGATGCGTTTGATGAAGTTTAGGTTTAGTTTGACTGTAAATGGTACATAACATTGAAAACTCGGAAAGATAGGCCTATTGTAACTGCGCCGCTATAAACAATACTGTGCAGTTGAAAGGTCAACCCACGATTCCACGATGAGGTCAACAAGCAATGCATTTCAATGCTGTACAATACAACGTAACCCTCTACAATAGTTAATTAATTGCAGCAAATACGGCAAGCCTCATTAAACTATCCCTGGGAAAACTTGCCTGCACGGTAAGCAGTAAGCACAAAGGTTTATTGTTTTGCGTAGCTGTACCTACGATACACTATGACCCAGATATAGTTCGTAGCATGCAATACAGTAGTGTAATATATATTGGTCAGCATTTAAAGCTATACTAGCTAGCATTGCTATGTTGGTTTGTGTTTTTAAAGTTTTGAGATTGTTGTAAATGTGGGACTAGCTAGCTAGTCATGGGTCATTCAATTAAACTACCCTCTATCTTCCTTTCACAAAGTTTCAAAATATGATACACTGCAATGTTTCAATGCGGAGTTATTTAGATTTAGGCAAGGTTATCTTAATTATTTAAATTAAAATCAACATAAAATATTCATTTTGTTTGGTAATATTTTAATTTAAAAAATCTTAGTGGTAATTGTGTATAATTATGATTTTATATACTTAGTTTTCCGTCATGGCATTTTTCTTAAAAAGCCATGACACACATGGAAGCCCTGGCCATTTTTTTTTAAACTGTAATATCTTCTTAAGCTTAAGTTACAATGATTGTTAAATTATTAATTATATTTTGCTCTTTAGATGGTGTCTGTTGGGACAGTCACTTCACCTGTGCGTGGCATTCAACCAGCAGCTAACTCTGCTACCAATAGAGTTGGTGTTACTCCCAGCCGGAGTAAGAGTGACGTCGCAGCTGCTCCGGGCTCGAACAAAGGAATATTTCGCATCGCGGGAGCGGTTGGCAACGGAAACCTTAATGTGCCAAATGGGTCCATAGTTGACATTGACAAAGGGGTGTTTGTGACACCAAAAGCGTCATTCGCTCCCTCGGTACTGAAATCACAGGCACAGGAAAAATTATTTATGCAACAACTCCGTTTTATACATGTAAGTACATACAGTAGTTGTTTGGAGATTGTTTATAAAATATATACTGTGTTAAGCAAAATCGGAAAATCCATGCTCAGGGCCTATGTAAGTTATTAACTTCAATTAAGATAAGCTATCAACTTTAACTGTGGTGGGGCTGAGGTGGTATATACCCTCCATCTGTGAAAGTCTCTCCCTAGGCCCCCTGTATTTTGAATTCTTGAACCCACCATTGAGAATAGAACACCTACAGAGTGAAAGGGTCTTGTGAATAAGTAAAGATTATTATTATTGTACTATATTTAAGGATGTTTGGATATGTGTCAATTTTGAGTAATGCTTAGCTAGTAAATCTCTTCTATTTTCACAGAGACAGTCGATCAATCAAAGAAAAGGACGAAAATCAAGACCACCCATTGTTGTCCAGGTAACAACTTTATCTCCTTGTCTTCCAAAATATATGTAAAATATGATATCTGGTAAAACCAACATAACTATTCTATACGTCGGGGGTGGGCATAAAAATCAGTTGGAGGGCCAAAGTGAATTTTATTTTTACTGTAACACCGAGTGCAGCACCTAAATTTTAATGTTGGTGTTTTTCCAAAAACCGTCATGCACTGCTTTTATACCACTTTATTCCAGGTTTGAACGTAACTTTTTACAGCTATTCTGTATCAGGCCGTCAAAAACCAAGGTGTTTTCTTTTCAAAAATATTTAGCGGGCCGGACTTGGGCGGCACGCGGCCCATTGGCTGCACTTAGCCCACCTGTGCTATGGGTAGTATGGGAAAATATATTGAAATGAATTATTTTGGGCATGAAGCTCTAGAGGTAGCAAAAGGAGTGATTGATTGATTGATTGGTTGGTTCTAAGCCAGTGTTCATAGGCTACATGTACCCAATGCTTAAAATTTAGCGTGTTATGCAGGCACTGATTGCGTTGTGCGACTGTCGCATGACAAAGCAAACTCGGCTTTCTGTGAGCACTAGACGACACACATTTGCTGTATGCTGAAAGCCAGTGGCAGTCTAAACGGATCGTCATTAAAAACGAAACATTGCGTGAGCATTGTCGCGTTGCGTTCTTCATAGAGCGCAAGCGTTCCCAGCTTAACATCTTGCCAATGTACAGTACAAAATCTGGTATCTCTTATTTTATTTTATTGTTTTTAATGGTTCACTTAAGTTCTTATTTATTTCTAAATTTTTATCTCCGCAGCGCCACCTTTTGCCTAGAATACAATCATCTGGTCCGATACGCAACATGATGTCTTTGTCGACATCAACAGGAAAGTTTACACCAGTGGACGCCAGCTCCCTAAACACTGTAGACCCATCGTGCCCCAAGATTAAGCTCAAACCCGTCTCAAGATCACCGGTGCCAATAGCTCCTAATATTCCTATTTTGTCTCCTGCTCCGCCAGGTAATTAGTTTCAGATTGAAACAATAATCCTATTCTGATTATTTTGAAGATGTGTACAATAACACGGTATGTAATGTTTGAATCAGGTGGGAACAAACTGTTTACAACATTTATATTTACCATTTTGTTATGTTATTTTCTTTTCTTTAGTTGTTATTAGTCCAATATTGAACAGTCCAATCAGCAGTCCAGTTTCTTTTGTGACTAATTCGCCATCTCCAGTAACAGTGCCACAAACTATGCAAATATCTGCTCCAGTTGCCATGGTTCCCATTTCGGCTGATGCATCGGTAAGATATTAGTTACAATGACAGATTGAAAATAACATTCATTTAGCTAAGCCTCTCGGATTTTGAACATTAATCGTCATTACAACACTTTATAGATAAAATCATATAAATCAAAGCACTTAATTGTTGACTGACTTAGAATATAACTTATCAACAGTGTTAATTTGTGGGTTCACATGTTGGCCACTCTGATTATGAAAATTAGGGGTCATAACAACACCTGATATATAAAATTGTATAAATTGAAAGGACTTTAATTATTAACTGACTTAGATAGAATATAACTTATCAACAGTATTAATTTTTGGGTACACATGTTGGCCTCTCTGATTATGAAAATTAAGGGTCATTACAACACCTGATAGATAAAATTGTCACAATTTAAGGCGCTTAATTAGTAACAGACTTAGCATATAACTTATCAACAGTACTAATTTGTGGTACACCATGTAAACAGTTTTTTTAAATTTCTTTAAAATTTAGGTGATGCCGATTGTTGCAGCGCCCTCTACTCCTTGTCCAATTGTAGCCATCCCGGTGACAACAAACCAGGTTTATGCTGAGCAAGCGCCACCGGTAACCTCTGTTGCAGCCACGCCACCACAGAACAAGATCTGCGATAGTAGTGTGCTATCGACGCCCAGCCCTCCAAGTAATGATGTCAGTTCCACAGACAGTCAAAAGTCAAAATGAATGCTGTAAATTTTGGGAATTACTATTATAAAACAATAAATAGGGCCACCGTAGTAACATTAGTCTGTGTGAAGCATTGAAACCCAATTTTTTTCAAAATTTCACTTGAGGGGCAGATTGCTATTAAACGGTCTTAACTGGTAATTGATTTATCACTTAAAGGGTCTTACTAAAGTCACTCCAGTAAGACTAATCACTCCCTGGTATTACATGAGATTTAGGGGCTGTTACACATTACAAAATCAAATCATCATTTTCATTGTGAATAATACTCATTACTCTACAAATTCCTGTTATTACCGTACATGAAACTCAACAGATGTCTGTTTTATTTTTATATAACCTTTAACCTTTATTCTTTTTCATAGGAATTGATCAACCTTTGACATCTGAACCTAGTGAGACATCAACCCCAGGAAAACCCATCCAGAATAGCCAGCAAGAAAACAGGGAAGGTGGCACCTCGACACCTCCTCCCAGTACTGTTAGTCCAACCAGCTCACCATTTAAACAGCTGACCTCTGACCCTCATTGGCTAAACGGTGAAACAGTATGTGTAATACATGATTATTTATTGTTTGATTTTAATTATCACAAATTAAGGAGCAAGTTGGTGTTGATGCTGTGATTGAAGATAATATTTATCATAATCATCAAAATAATGATAATAATTTTATAAATATTTTCAATTTAAATGAACCACTTTTAATTTATTAGATGGACTTGTCGTCACTTAGTGGATTTTTAAATGGCATCGAGTCACCGGAAAAGCGGGATAAAGCAGTTCCAACACTGAACAGTATCTGTCCTCTTCCTGTCATGTATTGTGAATCTTCCAGAGACTCTATTATGTCAACGAGTAATGTAAGTGTATGCCTAAATTTGATCATATGACATAACATCTTGACCATATATGGACTCATCATGACTATATGTTACAATATTTATTCATATTTTATTTTTTATATAGTTTTTGAAATTTACTGTAATGAAGCTTTTACTTACTTGGATTTTTAATGTATTGTATATATATTTATGTATTGTTTTTCTTTAGAGGGCCTCTTCAAGTCAGCTGTACTACTGTAGTGCAGCTGTTAGAGCTACCCTCGTGAAATAAAGTTGAAATAAAAAAAATAAATAAATAAAAATATGTGGCAAAGACAAGTCAAACCAGTCACTTGTCACAAAAATCAATTTTAAGTTAATAATACAGTGTTAAAGAGTAAAATAAAAGCTATAAAATGGTAAAAAAATCATTCAAATCGGACATTTCCTTATGAAGTTACAAGCGTTTAACCACACAGACGTTCAAAGTTTATGATTTTAGGCATTTCTCATGCAGAAACTATCTTCAAAACCTTAAAAAGTGTTGTTTTAACATTCAAAATGGGGAAAATAACAGCATAGAATGATATATAAAGGTTAGTTCAGTGAAATAAAATGGATTTTTAAACAATTGACATTCCAGCATGTTTTGGCCATTTTTCCTGAAACACTATTTCCGACGAGTGACTGGTTTGGCTTGTCTTTGCCACATATATGGGTATAAAACTGTTATATTCCCATATATGTGTCTTTGCCACATATATGGGTATATAATAGTTTTTTGTCAAAGAAAATTTTAGAGTTTTGACAGAGCAATGTTTCAAATTAAAGTAATGCAAAGCTCTGAATTTACACAAGCTTTTGTCGTTGCTGTCAAACATAACTTCATAAGCTGATGTGCAAGTCAGTGGCATAACCAGAGTTGGTGGGGGGGGGGGGGGGGGGGGTACACACAGTGCCTGAGCAAACATTAAAAAAAAATAATAATAATAAACTAATTGAAATAAATGTCTGCAAGTTGCTGACCTGAGACATTCACAATCAATTTATGGTAAAGTCAATGCCATTGATATATGCTCCATGCCTAGTTCTCCACGCCTTTTATAAAGTTAAGTGGGTGTAATATTTTTATTCAGAACCCTGTTTTTCAAAATCCAGGATACGCTACTACAAGTCAGTTAAAATCCTGTTCACATTTGTCTGCGTTATTTTTTTTTTCTAGTTCCAAGTTGAAGGTACATTACAAAGCCTTATGAATGAGAATAGCATTGACTACATAGCCAAGTTCGCAGATCTGGCTGCCCACATCGAAGAGAGCATTGATTTACCTGGTAACCTTGGTGTTAACGAAACAGTCGCTATGGAACCGGCAAAAGACGGTGTCACCAAAGCACTGGACTTCAGTTCGGTAGACTTTGGTAGTGGTAAACTGAACAACGGGCTTAAATCTGTATCATAAGCAAATTATATCTACACTTTATCAAAAATACATACCTTTATCATTTCTATTCTAAAATAAAGCAATATTTTGGCATTCATTTAAAGAAGGGGCATATTCAAAATACCTATCCTGAGTATAATATACATATTATAAAAGTCAGGCAGTGATATTTTGTCATTTTTGTAAACCAATTTTTTTATCTAATGGCTTGTCCAGACTATTATTTGTGAAATGCCTAATTAATATGGTTATATAGGTTCATCATGACTATATTATTTGATAGTATACAAATATTGACTGCTCATGAGGGGAATGGTGAAATCTATTGTCCCGAGGTGATGTGGAGACCATAGCCTATTATTTTCCACATCGTCGAGGGTGCTATAGATTTCAACATTTCCTGAATCCAGAGCAGTCAATATACCTTGTACATAGATTTTACGAGGCCTTAAAAATGTAATGAAAAGAATACCCACCAAGTAGGCCTAAGCTTACTTCATAGGCCTAGGTGATCAAAGGGCTAATCTCTCTCAGCATCGTAGAGGTCACGTCCCTGTTTCCGTACGTTGGTGGGTTGCATGTTATAAATTGTAACCTTATATGTGGGACCTAGAGATTACTGTACATCGCAACAGGGCAAAAAAGTACTATAATTTTTTCACCGGGAGTTTATGAACTATCATTCAATCTACGTCATAGAAGTTATTACCCGCTTTTTAACAAATCTATGTATGCGGTATATAATATGAACTGTATTCTTTCCTTGAAAGTATATTATGTAACACAAAAAAAGCCAACTATTGAACAATAGCCTGTAGGTCTTTATGCAGCCTTAGGGCTTTATCGTCATTACTTGTAATTGTATTGTTTTGCTCTTTACATTCTAGTGTGGTTATTTTAATGTTTTTTGTGTGCAATATAATATACTGTTATATAGAAACTAAATGTTGTTCCGAAAAAAATGTATATAATTTGTACAGATTTGTAGAAAGAATATAACTCTTTTCATCTAACATCACATATATGTAAAAAAAAATCATTTATCAATTTTTTTATGAATGCATATATTGTTTTCTGTTTTTGCCGTTATATACTGTACTATCTTAGAAAAGGAAAAGGTTTTGTATTCCATCAGAAAACAATAACAAAACTTTGCATCTTTGTTCTTGATTTTACCTTCTACAGAAATCTGTATTACAGCCATTGTCACTGCCTCAAACGTCCAGGAAAAAAATATCGCGCCCAAGCAACTGCTCATACAAAAAAGTGAATTAAAGAAGATCTATAAATCAATCAGTCAGGTGTTTCTAGAGTTTCTCATCAAAGCTAATGGCCCCCCATACGAAAAGAGAATGAAAAAAGATCAATCAGCCGGGTATTTTTAGAGCTCCTCATTGGAGTTAAAAATTATACAAATGGCTATTCTATTTTGATGGATACAATGGGGATCAGATCTAAAATTTCAAGTAAAATTTATCGTCATTGTGTAAAAGATCTTTCAAAACTCAAATTTTATGACAAATTTTGTATGATTTGCCCATGTATGATCATGATGATGTCATATCGAACTCGTGTACAAATAATGGCAAATATTTGTCACTTAAAACTTTACAGTGTGTGGACAGAATTTAAGGTTGTGTAACCTCCATAATTTAGCTTTGTGTGTGTATTCTAGTATTCACCAGAGAAGTGATTTAATAATTTGGCAGGCTTGAGCTTAGCAAACAGAAGAAGTAGCAAACAGAAGAACTCACTAGCGCAAACAGGGTATTATATTAAAAACCTAGCTTGATTATGTATAGCAGATGCAACCCCCTCCCAACCAGTGTAATGTTTTATGGAATATATCTTGCTTTTTTATTTAAACTGCTCTGTCATTTACAGTACACAATAAATATCTTTGTATGTTTCAGATTTTTTTTTTAATCTACGGAATCTACTGTACTGTACTTTACTATCAAATCAAGGGCCTCCTACCGATAAAATTCTGTAAACTTGCCCGATCATTTTTTTTCCCATGTAGATAAAATTATATAAGACCATGTATGACCAATAGCCAATGATTGGAATGATGTACCAAGGATGTTGACATTTTGAAAGTATTAAAGATATGGGTTCATCTCACATGAGATCCCAATATTTAAAACTAGTTGTAAAATCTCGATCAGAGATTTACACATCAATTTGGTATTATTTTTTTTTTACACATCAATTTGGTATTATTTTTTTTATTTTTTTTTACACATCAATTTGGTATTAGTTTGTTTAAGCCCTGTGCTCACTACCAAAATTTTAAGTGACAATAAATGTGATGCTCATATTTGTCACATAAACTTGATAAGTGTGGATGGAGCAGAGAAATAGATTTATTCATCTGTTTTGTGGATTTTGTAACCATTGAGGTGGTTTTTACAAAATAAATTTCTACAAGATAAACAAGACTTTCTGGTTTGATATTTCATTGACATGTCCTATTCATAACGTAAAACAGAGAAACCAAAATCTCGGATAAAGTGTATTACAGTTGAACTTGCCTAAGTCAAATAAAAAATGACATTTGAAAAACTGTTTTGACTTAGGGTGCGTTCGAGCCAGAAAAATACCTGTGCGAGGTCCGTGTATTTACACGGAAGTTAAATGCCGTGTGTGGCTCGAACGGGGGTAAGATGTAAAAAACATCTGAAACACGCTCGCCTATTTTGACCACCAAATTTAGAGTTATTGAACCGTGTATCGCTGTCAAAGGCCATTATCGCGACCATTAATCATGTTTTAATGACTCTACCGTCTGGCGGTCAACATGAATTCAATTCAACACGCGCGAAAACCATAGGCCTGTCCAGTTTATCTTAGAAAAGGAAAAGGTTTTGTATTCCATCAGAAAACAATAACAAAACGTTGCATCTTTGTTCTTGATTTTACCTTCTACGGAAATCTGTATTACAGCCATTGTCACTGCCTCAAACGTCCAGGAAAAAAATATTGCGCCCAAGCAACTGCTCATACAAAAAAGTGAATTAAAGAAGATCTATAAATCAATCAGTCGGGTGTTTCTAGAGTTTCTCATCAAAGCTAATGGCCCTAATGGCCCCCCATATGAAAAGAGAATGAAAAAAGATCAATCAGCCGGGTATTTTTAGAGCTCCTCATTGGAGTTAAAAATTATACAAATGGCTATTCTATTTTGATGGATACAATGGGAATCACATCTAAAATTTCAAGGTAAATTTTATCGTCATTGTGTAAAAGATCTTTCAAAACTCAAATTTTATATTATTTGCCCATGTATGATCATGATGATGTCATATCGAACTTGTGTACAAATAATGGCAAATATTTGTCACTTAAAACTTTACAGTGTGTGTGGACAGAATTTAAGGTTGTGTAACCTCCATAATTTAGCTTTGTGTGTGTATTCTAGTATTCACCAGAGAAGTGATTTAATAATTTGGCAGGCTTGAGCTTAGCAAACAGAAGAAGTAGCAAACAGAAGAACTCACTAGCGCAAACAGGGTATTATATTAAAAACCTAGCTTGATTATGTATAGCAGATGCAACCCCCTCCCAACCAGTGTAATGTTTTATGGAATTTATAATATATTGTGGACAGCCCAATATATTTTGCTTTTTTATTTAAACTGCTCTGTCATTTACAGTACACAATAAATATCTTTATATGTATTTTTTTTTTAATCTACGGAATCTACTGCACTGTACTTTACTATCAAATCAAGGGGCCTCCTACCGATAAAATTCTGTAAACTTGCCCGATCATTTTTTTTTTCATGTAGATAAAATTATATAAGACCATGTATGACCAATAGCCAATGATATTTTGAAAGTATTAAAGATATGGGTTCATCTCACATGAGATCCCAATATTTAAAACTAGTTGTAAAATCTATTTGGTATTATTTTTTTTTTTTACACATCAATTTGGTATTATTTATTTAATTTTTTTACACATCAATTTGGTATTTATTTTTGTTTAAGCCCTGTGCTCACTACCAAAATTTTAAGTGACAATAAATGTGATGCTCAAATTTGTCACATAAACTTGATAAGTGTGGATGGAGCAGAGAAATAGATTTCTTCATCTGTTTTGTGGATTTTGTAACCATTGAGGTGGTTTTTACAAAATAAATTTCTACAAGATAAACAAGACTTTCTGGTTTGATATTTCATTGACATGTCCTATTCATAACGTAAAACAGAGAAACCAAAATCTCGGATAAAGTGTATTACAGTTGAACTTGCCTAAGTCAAATAAAAAATGACATTTGAAAAACTGTTTTGACTTAGATATCATTATTTAATGAAAAAAAAAAAACAATTTGGCATTTAAAGGAAAAGTCAACTTCGGCAATTTAACTGTACGAAATGCAAACAATCGTGATGGGATTCAATATTTCAACATTAATTATGTCTTCATCAGGATAAGAGAAAGAGTGATGTTCACATAAATTACAGGGATGTTTGGTGCATGTTCAGTGAGGAAGCTACGACAGGCCTGCATATATTATTCTAACATATACAGTATTATTATTTATGCGCAAGCTTTCCAATGCTCGCATCCAATATTTGATACTTGGTGGGTGTGCAAATTATAAGAATAAATAATACTTTGTTTCCTCAGTGAATTTCCAGTGGCATTCCTCCCTCCCACTTGCTATGCCACTGTAAGTAGGCTCATATAGTTGAGGCTTGAACAATATACAGTAATTCACTTTGTATATTTTAATAAGTTAATAAATAGCTTATGAGAATGTTTTCCTTGCTACACACAAAGCACAAACACATAAATACTGTATTACCATACCATATTCATAGACCATGGAATTGGCTAGTAATAAATTCAGGGGCCTATATTGCATGGTGGAATGATATAGATGGTATCGCATAACATTTAAAAAAAAACACAACAAACAAAATAATACACACAAGCATTCACACAGAAATGAAAGTATAAAGTATTTACAATCATGTTTCATTATAAATAAATTCCAGGATGTCTATGTTTAAAATATGCATACAACAATTATGAAGAATTTGATTATATTAAAAGGCTGTTACTTGACTCAAGTCTGTGGAGTTTGTAACAGACTGTACTATTATTTGAGGGTAATTAACTATGCTTATTCTGAATCATTCTTGCAGAACAAATTATAAATTCACTCTAGATTATTAATTTGTGCGCAGAGATGTATTTTGGAATAACACATCATCTGCTACCCAGCACAAAAAAAAAGAAAGAAATTTGTATGGTATGGCTCGGTAAATTTATTTGTACAGTATTAAATCAATACTGCAATTGTAATGCGTACAATCACCCATAACCATATACAGTAAACAGTACTTAGCTGAATCAGGGAACCCCTGCCATATACAGTCATGATGTACCTATATATGGTCATGATGTGATGTCATCATGACCATATATAGGCACATCATGGCTATATATGAGCATACAAGAGTTTGATAGCCTGAACAGGACTTTAAATCATCCTCGATCCTAGATCATATTGATAAAATATTGACATTAATTATAATATTGATATGATGTTGAACCCTGTCCAAAATATGAAATTTTAATTGACAAAAACATGTCACATGCCTATGGTCATGATGTCATCATGTCATTGCCATATATAGGCACATCATGACTATATATAGGCACATCATGACTATA